CCTTCTCCTGTTATGCTCTGTCAAGTGCCCGATACTATGTGACATTTATAGATGATCATACCCGTTGTACTTGGGTCTACCTTTTGCATAGGAAGTCTGATGTACTCCCTGTCATTACTTAATTTTTTTAGATGATTAAAACATAGTTCGATGTCATTGTTCGTGCTCTTCATTCGGATAATGCCAAAAAATATGTGTTTGATGCCTTAGTTTCTCACCTTTCTTCTCAGGTTATCCTTCAGCAGCTCACTTGTCCATATAATCTTGAGCAAAATGGAGTTGCTGAAAGGAATAATATAAGTATGATAAGGATGGTACGTTGTATGCTTAGAAGTATGGGGGTACCAAAATTTTATTGACATTTTACTTTTGTGACTTCTACTTTTTTGTACAATCGTACACCGAGTCGTGTTCTTCAACATAAGGCTCCCTTACAGGTCTTATTCCCTGAGCGAACACTTTTTTGGTCCCCCCTCGTGTTTTTGGCTGTACATGTTTTGTTCAAGATCGATCTCCTACTGTCATAAGCTTGATGATAAAGCGATTCGTTGTGTCTTTGTGGGCTATTGTCATCAGTCTAAGGGGTATCGATGTTATGATCCTGTCAGACGACGTATGTATCATAGTCTAGATTTACCTTCTTTGAATATATCCTTATTTTTCTTCCAGTCCTGTGTCTCCCCTCTAGTTGATGATACTCTCTTTGATTTTCCATTACCACCAGAGTCAGAGTCATTGGTCACTATCACTACAGGGTCATCGGTCTCCCCTCATCCAGAGCCACTCATCCCTGTCAGTATAGAGTCATCAGTCTTTATTCTTTTGCAGGTTTATGTTCGTCGTCCTCGCTTTCATCCCCCTGCTGATGTCCCCTCTACCCCAGGCAATGCAGGTAATACTTCTCAGTTTGTTCAGTATATTGATGCACCTGTTGTTAGTACTGATGAGATTGTAGGTACTGAGCCAATTATTTTATCTGATGAGACATTATCAGTGGAGGATGATGATTTAGGGCGTCGTTTCAGCGTAATCATACGTGAGATCTTGCTTCTTTACTTTCAGGGGTGAAGCCTGTTGGCTGTCGCTGAGTTTATACCCTGAAATTTCTTGCGGATGGTACTATTGATTGTCACAAGGCTAGGCTTGTGGTGAAGGGTTTTACTCAATTACCAGGTCGTGATTTTGGTGCTACCTTTGCCCCCGGTGGTAAAATTGACTATTGTTCGACTGATTATTTCTCTGGTTGTGAAATACTTTTGACCTCTTTATCAGTTAAATGTGAAGAATGTATTTCTTCACGGTGATCTGGACGAGATTATTTATATGGATGCACCACCGGGCTTTCGTGGTGAAGGGGAGTATGCTAAAAAGGTTTGTCGATTGCGTAAGTCTCTTTATGGACTGAAACAATCACCACGAGCCTAGTTTTCTCGATTTAGTGATGTAGTTGTATGTTTAGGGTTCACCAAATGTCATTCTGATCATACCTGCTTCATTCGACGGAATACTTTCGGACAGTGTGTCTTCCTTTTGGTATATGTTAATGATATTATTATTACTGGAGATGATGTTTCTAGGACTGCGCAGGTTAAGGTAGACCTTGGGAAGGCCTTCGATGTGAAGGATCTTGAATTTTTGCGATACTTTCTTGGAATTGAGGTTGCTCGTAGCAGCATATGTATTGTTCTTTCTCAAAGAAAGTATGTTCTAGATCTTCTCTCATACACTAGGATGCTGGGGTGCAAACCGGCATCATCACCCATGATTCAAAATCTGAAGCTTACTGCTGAAGATGAGGAGTTGAGAGATTTGATAGTCTATCAGAGGTTGGTAGGTAGACTTATCTACCTAGTTAACACTAGGCCAGACATTTCATTCACTGTAAGCCGAGTTAGTCAGTTCATGCACAGATCATGTCAGCCTCATCGTGATGCAGTTTATCATATTCTTCGTTACCTCAAGTCTTGTTATGGACTTGGGTTGTTCTATGCATCTGGATCTCAGATTGGTTCTCTAGCTTGTTATTCAGATTTAGATTATGGGGGAACATGTGACGGTTGATCTACTACGGGCTTCTGTGCTTTTCGAGGGATTCATCTTATCTCTTGGGAGAGCAAGAAGCAGTCAGTTGTCTCTCGCTTGTCAGCAGAGACAGAGTATCAGACACTAGCACTTGGCACATGTGAGATTATCTGGCTACGATCGATTCTTGACAAGTTGGGATTTTCAGTGACTTTTTCATCTATATTATATTGTGATAATCGATCTGTTATTCAGCTCGTTTCTGACTCTGTATTACACGAGAGGACGAAGCATATAGAGATCAATGTTTTCTTTTTTTGGGAGAAGGTTAATAGTGGTATTGTCACTCTATCGTTTGTGGGGACTAGTGATCAGGTTACAAATGTTTTCACCAAACCTGTCTCTCTATCCATTCTTCGGGACTCAATTGTCAAGTTTGGCTTAGTTGACATTTTTGCGCCTAGCTTGAGGGGGAGTGTTGGAGATATAACATCTTAGTTTATTAGGGTTTATTAAGTTTTTTCTTTTTTACCTTTTTATCTTTTTATCCTTATTGTAATTTTTATTGGCTATATATACGGAGGTTCTACATTTAGTTTATATCTCATTTTACTCACAAATATTTCTAGTCAAACAGATAATGGGAAAGTTCTCAAAAAGAACTACTGGCCCCAAAGAAGGTGAAAATTCTTTGCCCCTTGATACAACTGCGAAGAACTAGAAATTCAGTATAAGTCCAATTCATGCATTTTTCAATTAAGTGAGAGTACAAATGAGTTTAGTTTGATTAGTTAACAGGCTTTCTTCTTCTTTATGATTTTGACAGACAATTGCAGTTTGTATGTTGAGCTCTCTGGTTAGCATACATGGTTTTAATTGTTTTTGCAAGTACAATAATGAGGTAGAAGGGTCTATGATTTCATGAGTGAATTTGATTTGAATGGTTTATTAGACAATATGAATTATTTCCCTCGGGACGGTATGGTTGTAATCATGACCCTCCACATTGCACCAATAATATCTAAATTTTTGAAAAGAAGTTTTAGTAGCATAATTTTTTGTGAGTCATGAGTCCATATAAATGGACAATGTCACAATGGTAGTTTGTTTTCTTGGGGCCTGGATACAGTTTTATGTTACTCTTCTGCATTTTTCAATTTTTTTTGTTGGGAAGAAACTAAATAATGCCTCTCTGCAAGGTTATAGAAAGATTGGATGCTGAAAAAAGCCTTACTGAGTCTGCACCAACTCCAACTGTCACTTATTGTCAAAGGAATAAGTCTGATAATGATATCTTTGTCTCCAATTTGAGGCATCACCTTCATGAGTTAATCCACTCTCCTATGGAAGAACACAAGGCTTGCTTGAAAGCAACTTTTCAGAAGGTAAGCACATGATCAACAGCTTCTGCTACTTGGTGCAAATGTAGTTAACAAAATACCTTGTCTAATTTATGAAGTTATTCAGCTACAAAATGAAAAAAATAATTACCATAGTGGATGTGGATACTTTTGAGACTGACGAGTTTTTTTGGTTCCAAACAGATTATGGGAAAGTTTTCAGAAAGAACTACTATCCCCAAGGAAGGTGAAAAATCTCTGCCGCTAGAGACTACTGCGAATAACTAGAAATTCAGCATAACTACCACCCCTGCATTTTTCAAGTAGGAGAAAGTACAAATGACTTCAGTTTGATTAGTTAACATGCTTTCATTTTCTTACGACATTAACAGACAATTTCAGCTTGTCAGTGGAGCTATGTGTTTAGCATACACGGGATTTTTGGGTTTTTTATTTTTTTTATCCAGCAAGAGTTTGAGCACATTTCCAATTGCCTGCAATCATTTCATCATCATACCACTGGTTTTTTGGGTATTACTTTCAAGGGAACTAGTTTCCTCAGACTTATTCCCATCCTCTCCTTCATGTCCATAGTTTCTGGTGTCAGATGGCCATCAAGGTCCCAGTCAAAAGACTGAAGCAAGGCGGCTAGAGCAAGGTTAAGCACTCTATAAGCCAGGAAAAAGCCTGCACAAATTCGTCTTCCAGAGCCAAATGGAATCAACTCAAAGTGCTGCCCCTTGTACTCAATATCAGAGCCTAAAAACCTCTCAGGTTTGAAATTCAAAGGGTCATCCCAAGCATCAGGGTCTCTTCCAATTGCCCATGCACTTACGTACACTTGTGTGCTTTTGGGTATGAGATAGCCCATGTAGTTTGTGTCTTGCATTGTGTTCCGTGGAAGCATTAAAGGAACAGAGGGATGCAATCGAAGGGTCTCTTTCACAACTGCCTGCAAATATGGCAATCCAACCATGTTACTCTCTTTGACCTTCTTGTGAGGTCCTATGACTCGATCAAGCTCTTCCTTAACCTTACTCATTGAGTCAGGTCTGTGTAATAGCTCTGCCATTGCCCATTCAATAGTGCTGCTTGTAGTTTCTGATCCAGCTAAAAACATTTCCTGTACCATTAGAACTTTAGTTAAATGATCGATTATGAAAATTGCATCTTATATATATAAAACAAGGGTCGCGCGAACGCAGGCCCCCACTTTGACCAATTATGACATAGGCTCCACCACTTGGATAGACATTAGGAAGACACCCCTCCCGAGTGCAATGGAAGTCCCCAACCTAGGCCACGGTCCTTCTTGATCACCCATTGATCCCATCCAGGCAAGTAATACTATGTTCGTTTTAAAGATATAGTTACACATTTAAAATGTGAAGTTTCAATTGATTAAAAACTCTTCATGATCCATCATGAATCACTTCATGTAGTTGGAATTTTATTTTTAAGATGTATAACTTATCCTCAAAAAATAGTAACTTTCGGTAAAAATTATTAACAACAGAAGGGCGTTAGCATTGTATTATCAGGATTATGATGTTCATGTTCTTCTTTGAAATTTTGTCAGGCCCATTCTTTTCCATCACCTTCATACTCTAACAATGCGTCCTAGAAGTCTTTTTTTACCTTCTCTCTTCTTGATTCCTTCTCATGAACCCTCTCACCAACAAATCCAGCGACAACCTTCATGCATCCTCCCATATAGCGGATCATATTCCTCTTGATCCCTAGTGGGTCGAGCCATTTCAAGAAGGGGAAAAAATCTGCCACATTAGGTTTCCCAGCCCATTGCATGAACATGTTCATGGCTTCGAAAAACTCGTGCCCTGCCACAGACTGCATGTCCAAGAGATCTCTTGACAACATAAGGTTCCCAACAAGGTTGAAAGACATGATGTGAAGGAACCTAACTAGTTCCACACCACCCGATCCACCCTGGACACTCGACGATGCTGAATCCTCCTCTATCCACTCGACCATCTTGTCAATGCACTTTTGCCTGATCGGAGCCGACTCGTGGAGTCTTTTGTTAACCAAGAGCTCCATGGAGCAGAGTCGTCGTAGTATGCGCCAGTCTGGGCCATAGCCAATGATCCTTGGTTGTAGCCTAAGGCCGTGAGTGCCTTGGGAACTTTGCGGTCCGAGAAAGGAAGGTCATTGTTCTTGAATAACTCAGCAGCAGCCTTGGCAGATTGTATGACCATAGTGTCTACTAAATCAAGCTTTAGCCAGAGAACAGGTCCATACTTGGCCCTTAATTTGTAGAAGGTCTGGTGTGGCATGGTTCCTAGATCGAACATGTTGCCAACAATTGGCCATCCTGGTGGCCCTGGTGGTCGCTGTTTTGAAGAGCCTTTCGCGGCCTTAGTCCACGTGAATAATAGAAGAAGAGAAGCTAAGAAAGAAACACTCAACCAGGTAAGCACACTAGACATCCACTCCATTTCTGAGTTTGAACTCTCTTATGTGTTATTTTGTAACTTGTATGTCACCATGTCATTTGTTGCGTATAAATAATGCACTGCCTGCCATTCATTTTACTTGACCTGCTAAAAATTATCAAGGTAAAATGCAAAAAATGTGCAGACCTATCAATTTTTGGAGCAAATATTGCATGTAACAATTCTACAATTTCAGCATTAAAAGTGTTACGTGATGTCACCATCTAATAAAAAACCTAAAAAATGAATAAAGTAAGCCTCTTTTCACATGGAGTGGTGCACATTATACGAATGGGTGGTTATTGAAATTTGTGGGGTTTACTTATCTATTTATGCACTTATAATGGAACAATTATACCATATTGACATTGCTAACATTGTGTAATTGTTACATTACATTTGAAAACAATGCCAAAATTGTGATAGAACCAATGGAGTTTGAGTGTGTTTAAACCATAGCAGTTTGTGTGATAAAAAAATAGATCCATCAACAACTCGCCAAATAAATAAGTTAATTGAGCAAAACATTCTTTATGCATGAGGAGGACCACAAAATCAACTAGCAGTATTAATTGAGCAGAAAATTTCGTGATGGGATCTCGATTCACATAAATATAGGATTCTTTTTCCCTCAATTGTATTGTATATTAAATTAGAAAAATTTAGAAGTCGGTCCTCTATGGCCTTATTTAGATTTAAGTCAACTCAGAAAAACTTATTTTGAAATAAGTTCATTTTTATTTTTATTGTCCAAAATACCACTAATAGTTATATTTAATTTGAAAATTACCAACTCTTAAATTTTAGGAGTTGGACTAATATTAATATCTAAATCAATATTTAAATTTATCAAATTAAAACCAAATTTATTCAATTAATATTAAATTTTATCAAATAATATTTAAATTTAATATATAAAAGGTGATATGTGAAGAGTGGTTGTGTGACACGTGGAGGACATACGATAACATATGAATTAGAAATTGATGGAATTTTGACATTGACTTTATCAATAGTAATTTTTATTATAGAAAAATCGTTTTTAATTATAAAAATTATAAAAACTGGGTTATGTAACCAAATGAGTGATAACATAATTACTAATATTATAACAAAATTATCATGCAACGTTGTAAATGATAAAAATTTATTGGAATAATATAATGATAGAAATTACGCTTTATAACTGGCTAGGACATATATAATGGGAAAATGATTGTGGGTATTTTAGTCTATTTATATAACAAAAAGGTAATTTTGATATTTTCACAAAATATTTAGTTAAATCATTACTTTACCAACTCGTAGAGGCAAAAGTTATCATTAAGGGGGTGTTATTGATTTAAAAGTATAAACCAGAAGGGTGTGCAGTGAAATTTCAGAATCGGGAGGGAGTATCATTAAATTTAAACTTAACTACTAGGGGTGTGGATGAAATTTTTTCAAATATTTCTCTCTCTCTCTCTCACTCTCACACACACACACACACACATATATATGAGATAAATAATAACATTCAAACACAAAAATATTAATATTTAAAAGAAAAAATAGTGCGATTCAAAACACAAAAAATATTAATATCCAATATTAACATTTCAAAAACAAATAGCATTCAATACTAATATTCTAAACAAAAATTAGTCAAATTGAATAATAACTAAAGAACGCTTAGTAACATAGGCAATTGCTGATGCATAGGCAAGAAAACAGTAATATACTTACCAAAAAATAGTAACATTCACAACAAAAAATTACAAAAAATAGTAACATTGAATATGAATATTTAAAAAAATAAAACAAAAAATAGTAACAATCAAAACAAAAAATAATAATAATCAATATTAACAAAAAATAACAACACTGTAGACCTCGAAGAAATTACCTGTTACGATCAAATATCTATCTCTAAAAGGTAGCATACTATTGATTCTACAATAAATAACCAGGAATTTTCAATTACCATTGCTTCTATTCTTATTTGAGAAATACTATGAATCCCAAATTTACAATTCAAATTTGTATCGCAAATTAAGGGGACCGTTGAATGAGAGAGTTCCATCAACTTTTTTAAATGAGACTCACTGATCCAATAATCCCCTGTATTTGGGATGTAAATTTGGATTTCAGATTTGAATTACATAGCATTGCTTTTCTTATTTCTTTGGTCCGTCTTTCAAAGTCTTCCCCGACCTCGGCTGTTGGGTTGATGCTGCTACTGCTCTATCCATGGCAGCGAAGAGATCATGAGGCTGCTATTGGTCCGTCCATGGCAGCGAAGAGAGCATCATGCTGCTATTGCTCTGGAGAGCATGAATATCTGCCAGTGAGAACGAAGAGGAGAGAGAATAGCTTAACTGGGATTTGAATTTCAAATTTATGATAAATATTTTATTGCATATCTCTATTAACATTGAATTAAGAGGTAAATTTGAATTTCAGATTTTGTAGAAAAAATCAACAAAATCTTCCATTAAGCATGAATCAATGGATAACTGTTTAGAAAATTGATTTAATATTGAAGACTGTTTTTAAGTCATTAGAAGGTTTTCCTTGACAGACTAAACTCATTATAAATTTCTTAAGGAAGACTCAAATCCAATTTTTGCTTCTTTTTTTTTTCTTTTTTATGGTAGTTCTAAACTACCATGTATAAAAATTATAGCGTAATCAATTTCCAAATATATTGATTTCAAACTTGTTTTTCAATCTAGCATCATTTGTATGAAACAGTGGTTTCCATTCACTCTTTGTAATATAAACGCACTTTTAATTTTTTTTCAATTAAAATCGTGGGCAAAAAACACGTTCTTACCTTGAAAAGTGCAGATTATAGCTGTGTTTTCATACAAATAACACAGCTAAAAGAACTCATTCTCCACTCGTTTTAGAAATTTAAAGTGAAATGATAAATTTGACCAATAGTCCTATTAGATTATGTATTGATGAAGCGTGCGGAACGATATATTCTATAATTAATATAACATTGATATAATTGAAAGAAGAATATATTAACATAGATCTTGACCCGTTCAATGACCACTATTTTAGGATCGTCAACATATCTTGTGTTGTATCATGCTTTCAAACTGTCTAAGTTGAGCCTTGTCCAAATTTGTTCAATATCTATCTAATTTATTAATATTTGTGTATTGTTTAATTCGCTTTATAAATTTCATGTCATGTATAATCGTGTTTAGTCAAGTTTATTGACTCATTTGTTTGACAAGTCATTGATGAATCTATTTTTTTTACCACACAAACCGGCTATGGTTAAAATACAAACCCCTTTGGTATTGTATTCAAATGTCACGTATTGATTATATCACGTCATAAGTGTTATATGGTGTAATTGTCCACTAATTTCAATAACCTCCCATTCATATAATGTGCACCACTCTATGTGAAAAGAGAGGTTTACTTTATTCATTTTCTAAGTTTTGTATTAGATGGTAACATCACATAGTTTTGCCAACGCTGATATAGTATAATCGTTACACCAATGCCAACGCTGACACAGTTAATTTTTATACATGACCACCAATTTCAGACAACTCAATTAACAGACTCCTCAATATTAAACAATCACATCAATTCACACCTACTCTCTCTTCATTTTAATTTTAACTTAAGTAATTAAAAAAATTAAATTATTATTTCAAATACAAATATTTCAAAATCAACTCGATTTTTAATATTGTATAATGTCTTCAAACATGATGTTATTGCTAGTTTTTCAATAAGTCACCAATTTTCACATTTTAGTTCTTACAATTCAATTAAGCTCTTCTTTAGCCTTTCTCGTCACTCATTCAATTGTGCTACTTAGTAGTTTTTTATCCAATAAAATGGAAAAAAATCATATAGTTCTAGAACAACTCATATAGTACTAGATAAGATAGGAAAATATTAGATCAAATTTGTCGTATTAAAAACGGGTTATTTATGCTAGATACTAATTCTGTTTATTTATCATTCCTGTTCATTGATAGTGTAATTTTTGGATTTATATCGTACTAATGCATTATTTCAAAAATAATACTCCAAAATCCTAAATTGGGACACCATTATTTCTAGAGATACTAACACGTAGAATAGCAAATGTGTTTTGAGTCGTTGTCTTGTGGGAAAAGTGGGCACTGTCTTACTAATCTAAAATCCATTTACGACTATATATGTAGCCAGTATGCATTAAGACGAGAGTGGTTGAAGACCTGACGTTTATTTTTTTGTCTAAATCGGCTTCTCTCAGACAAAAATGGAATTTTCTACCATCTTACCCTGATATCTTAACTTTTTTTTTTTTTTTTTAAATTTCATGATTTTACTTATTTTTTAATCCTCTATTATCTGTATGAAAGGAAGGTTATAATCTACACTTTTCAATGTTAGAACGTGTTTTTTGCCCACGATTTTAATAGAAAAAATTTAAAAGTGCGTTTATATTACAAAGAGTGAATGGATACCACTGTTTCATACAAATGATGCTAGATTGAAAAACAAGTTTGAAATCAATATATTTTGATAATTTTTAAAAAAAATTATGGTGTCAAAGAAATTGATTACACTCAAACACGCACACTAACGTTTGAGATATTCGTATAATGTTTTAATTATTCGATAAGTAAATATCCGGATAGTTGAAAATAAGGGCTGGTTTTCGTTCTTATTTCTTTTTTTATTGTGGTGCTGACATTATAGCATAATTAATAGTCTAAGAAAGGCTCATGATTTCTAAAATTAATAATTTGACAATAACACAAATGTCAATATTGGACATCTTTGAGAAATAAAAATCATTTCCTTGCGATCATTTTTGTACTAGGCTGGTAGAACAGTTAATATAGTAATTGGGGTGGTTCAAATCCAAAATATGGGCAATGATCATTGTGATAAATGTATCAGATTTGACTAACTAATTTTTCGGTCTTTTGAGACGTATAAGAAAGGGAACTACAAAAACAGACAAACTATTTTTGGCAACAAACAAATGACGCTTACTA